GAGACCCTAAAGGTTTCAATGTGACCAAGTGGTGCCATTTTGGATTGCTTTAACTTTGGGTCCGAGTCGGTTGCTTCGGTAGAAAAGATTAAAGGGTTTCGGTCTTTGAAGGTTTGTTCAAATTGTAATTTTAGGTTTTACTTTGTTTGGTTAATGGGAATTCATTAAAGGTTCTGTTTTTAAGAAAAATGAAATTCAAAGGATGAATGATCTGAAGTAATGTCGATTTTTTTCTTGATTGGAAGCTGAGTTTAAAAGTGTATAGCATTGTAGTTTTGTTTCTAAGAACATGAATAAAATTTTTGAACTTCATTTTCCCTATCAGTTTCTGAAGTTTCTTAGCAAGCAAACAGGAACCGAATGATAAGAGTGCAAATTTGTTTACCAGAAATGGGTTTCTAGTTTCTACTCCATTTGATCCCTTTCTCACTTGGTTATGGGTTCCAATACCAAAAGTAATCACAATGGCATACAAAACTATCATATTTACATACCCAACATGCAAAATCTAAACAGATTAAACTCAATAACTCAAATTTTCAATGATCACTACAAGAAAAAATCACAATGCCATGCATAATTATTGCATTTACAAACCCCATATGCAAAAATCTACCAAACACAATAAAATTCACATCATTCAAAGACAAATTTTCATCTAATCAAACCCAGATTACCAATGTAGCAGCTTTACCTGCTTATGAATCAAATCTCCATCCAAAGAGAAAAACAGGAGATACCCAGACGAAGTCCCGGCCACAACCACCCTTATCTCGTCAAACACCAGCCACTCCACCGCCGAGACGAACTCCGCCTTGATCGGGGACAATTCGGGTCGAATTTTGAGGCGGGTCCCGTCGGAGTCGGCCCACCCGAGAACCACAATAACGGAGCGGTTGGCGAGAGCGAGCGACTGGGTGTCCAGGGCGCAGAGGAGGTTGGGGTCGTCGAACCAGCCTTCCTTTCCCGCGCCGAGCTCGCCGAGCTCCTCGCAGGCGATGTTGCCCAGCTCCGTCGTATGAGTTCGCTTCGCCATGGTTGATCGGACCGGAGTTGGAAAAGGAGGAGGAAGCCGTTAGAGTACGAGAGATTTTTCAGTGTGACTGCACACCAATGTTAAGTGTGTAAATGATATATATATATATATATATATTAAAAAATTAATAATTTAAAAAATAAAATTTTTATTATTTATATAAAAATATGTGGTGTATTATTCGTATTCTCGTTATAATTAAAAATTTCTCGTTAGAGAAGTAGAAGGATGGAGAAATTTTCAATGTGATCGGTACGAATGGTACATGTGTTATTATACAACTGATGAGATATGTGTGTTAAAAAATTAATAACTTAAAAAATAAAATTTCTCACCAATTGTATAAAAACATATGATGTGTCAGTATCACAATGAAAAATTTATTGGAAGGAAGGCGCCATGTACCAACGACCAACTAACCCAACTATTTTTTTCTTTTCTTGAAATCTACCTAAAATAATTGTAAATCAAATTTAATTTCTAAATTTATTAAATTTAATACGAGATGTTATTGATACTCACTCTAAGAAAGTTTCATTGTAACAAACTTTTTCTTTTTTTTTTGGCCAAATTTTTTTTCGTGATTTTTATGATGACAAGGGATTTTTAATGTGACTTTAAAACATAACTAAATTACATAAAGAATAACTTAATTTCATATCGAATTCATCATTTATGAGATTCAAATATAAAATCGCTTACTTATAAATAAAAAAGAATACCACCATATCGAAGTATTATGGCGATAAAATCATCGATTTAATCTCTAATTAAAGACTGCACTGGTATAATCGTCCGAGAAATCGAAAATGCTGAGTCAAGACCCTTCCCTCTCTAAAAGCTAAACCCTTCTCTTTTCCTCCTCACGTCATTCTTCAATCTCCTCCGCAAAAACCTAACCCTAAAACCCCTCACCGCAGCCCCCAAAACACTCTCCATCAACTCGTTCTCCCAATTCCCGCAAAATTTGGATCCCAATTTCACATTTTCCTGCCAAATTTCCCAACTCTGGCGGGACCTCCGCTAAGAGTTGGGGACCTCCGCTCGTACGCCGGGCAGAGCAAGAATAAAGCTTGAGGCTGGTCGTCCCCGAGCAGAATCGAAGGTAATGCAGAGTTTTGCGGGGAAGTGAAGGAAAATGCTCGACAGGAAAGCAAAAGGCTCGCCGAGTCCAATTTCTACCGACTCAAGAACCAGGGCCCAAAGTACACCGATAACTTCACTGACGATGAGCTCCAGCAAATCGGGCTCCAGTACGACTGGATGGTCCGGTTCATGGAGAAAGAAAACCCCAATTTGCGCCACCTACATGACTGGTACAAGTACGGGGAATACGGGCCGTGCATGTGGCGCGGGGTTGTTTTTGGCCAATCGATCCGGGGAAGGTTCACCGACAAGAGGGTGACGATGATTAGGGAAGTGAAGGACCAAGATGAGTGGGAAAAGATTGAGCAATTTGAGATGAGCCAAGATTTTGGGAAGAGATCGGAGCAATTGGATAGAAGCAAGGGGAGGAAGTACTTTTGGGTGCTTGTGAGGCACCCGAGGTGGCGGTTTTCGGATTTGTCGTGGCAGCAGTGGACTTTGGTGTGTGAGGTAGTGGTGGAAGGCGAAAAACAGAGGTTGGACAACTGGAGTTTGATGGGCAAGCTTGGGAATTTGACTAGATCGTTGATAATAAGTGCGTAGCTTAGATGAGACTCAATGTCATATACGTGAAGAGGCCGGTTTATCAGTGTAGGTTCGAGCCGCAGAGGAAGAATTGAGTGAAGAAAAAGATGAGAAGTATTGGGATGAGGAGTTTGAAAAGGCGGTAAGTAGCTCAGATGCAGCTGCAATGGAAAAGCTAGCAAAACAGTGTAAAGTCAACCACTGAAGAAGCAATTGAGGACAATGGAAGGGAACAAAAATCGAAAATTGGAAGACAGAGAAGAAGGTGATGGCGATGAAACAGTAGGAAAACGACCGACAATGAGTGCTTATGTGAAATCCTACATCGTTTAGGTGAGTGATTCTTATATGTATAGTTTACTGGCTTCAGGTTCCGTAGGAACTCCGAAGTTAAGCGAGAAGGGGCTAGAGCATTCCCATGATGGGTGACCCACTGGGAAGTTGCTCGTGAGTTCCCATAAACAAAACCGTGAGGGAATGGTAAGCCCAAAACGGACAATATCGTGCCACAGTGATGGAGCGGGCCCGGGAAGTGATCTGTCCCGAGCAGGGATGTGACATTTGACCCTGGTCACGTGTGTGCCGACGAGGACGTCGGGCCCCTAAGAGGGGTGGATTGTGACATCCCACATCGTCCAGGGGAGTGATCCTTAAATGTATATTCTCATCCCTACCTAGCACGAGACTTTTTGGGGCTTCGGGTTCCGTAGGAACTCCTAAGTTAAGCGAGAAGGGGGTTAGAGCATTCCTATGATGGGTGACCTACTGGGAAGTTGCTCGTGAGTTCCCAAAAACAAAACCGTGAGAGAATGGTAAGCCCAAAGCGGAAAATATCGTGCTACGGTGGTGGAGCGGGTCCAAAAAAGTGATCCGCTCCGGACCGGGATGTGACAGCTGAAGAATAGAAGATTGCTGGGTATGGTCCATGGAGGAAAAGAATCAAGAGTAGTAAGATTCCTCCGCAGCTGTTTTTGCGAGCAGCGGTTCGACCCTTCACTTACAAAAATCTTGTGAAAGAGATAGTTTTGACTAGGCACGGAATTGTGGATGGCGATTTTTGGGGAAAGACTTGATGAAGCATTTGCCTCTTGTTCGGATGACTATCAACGAATTCAGTACATTGCAGAGAGTATGTATCTTACTGAATTGACCTCAATGAAATTTGATGCAAGTAAAATTGGTTGTTTGAATTTGAAACAGTTAATTGCAAGAAAAAGTTTTGCCATGAGAGCTTATATTCTGTCACTTTTGGATCAGTTTTTGCTCCACTTTGTTTTGGCACTTTTTCCGAGTGCTGCTGTGGTGGAAGTAGAAGACCTATATAAGTTCTAGTCTTCTACTCTTGGACTGTCACCTATGGGACTCTTTCTCTTCACAATAAGGTTATGGGTTTTTGCCATTTTTGCGTTCTCTGTCCTATAGTTTTGAAGTGTCACTTATGAGAAACGTTTTGGTAAATTTACTCACATTTTTATAAGAAAATAAAACATTAAATTGATTGACTACAATCACAACCAGTTCCAATATAGTCGAATAGAAAGACATTTCTTACCACAGACGACAGAGTCCTACACCAAACATGGAAATTATTAAAAATAAAACTCGTGCTAGAGATCCGCCAAGAATTTGCCTCTTTGTAGATATGACTCTATCTATGAAATGGTACCAAACGGAGACTCCAACCACCTGATATCTTCAATAAAGTTCCTCAATTGCCAAGGAGTCACTCAGAAACCTTTGATTGCATCAATAACAAGTTTAGAATCACCTTCCACACAAACTTTTTTGAATCCCCCAATATTTTTAGATTCGATCATTTAAACATTTTGTTAAGTAGTCTGTTTGGTTAATCTATTGGACCTACTCCCAATATGAATACGGCGTCAGGGAGTTCAGAAGATGATCTCTTACAATTAGGTCAACATATAATGGTTGACCACTTGATTAATTTAACAAAAACGTAGAAATTGGTAGAATGTCAAAACATCGAAAGAAGCGATTTTTTTACAACTTAATCTATAAAGTTTGAGGATCTAGACCATTGAAAATTGATCAAACAGTTACAAATAGGGACCAACTTTAAAGTTATAATTATTTCAATTATTGGATCAAATTTCAATATCTCAAATCTTCGAACTTGATGAATTATGAGAAAGAGATGTAGAGATAATTCTTTTCCTTCTTAGAATCATGTCAACATATAACGGTTGACTACGCGATTTATTTAACAAAAAAAAAATATAAATTAATAGAACGTCACATCGGAATGGGAAATATAACGGGACAAAATTATTTTTCTTTGGAATCTATTGCTTTTCTCTTGCTCTTGCATGCAGTTAATGATGGCGGGAAATCCCTAAAACCCCAGTTACCCAACTTCCAATGCTAACCATACCCACCTGCAACTCTATCTTCACCCGCCTGATTCCCTTCCTCCCCAAAAACCCTAATTCCCCGAAACCCTCTCCTACACGTTTCGTCAATTTCCACACCCCGAAACGTTTCGCTTGTGTCGGCCTCCACACACTACCAATGTCGGCTTCTTCTTCGACCAAATTAGCGGCGGAGTACGCGAAGTCGAAGAGGTCATCGTGCAAAAAGTGCTCGGAACCGATCGCCGCCCAGGCTCTGCGGCTGGGGTTGGTCAGCAGAGACCCTAAAGGTTTCGATGTGACCAAATGGCACCATTTGGATTGCTTCAATTTTGGGTCCGACTTGGTTGCTTCGGTTGAGAAGATTAAAGGGTTTCAGTCCTTGAAGGTTTGATCGATTTGCAGTTTGGGATTTTCTTTGTTTGGTTAATGGGAATTAATTAATTAAAGCTTCTGTTTTTTTAAGGAAAAATGAAATTGAGAGGATGAATATTTTGAAGTAAGGCTTTGTCTGATCTTCAATTAAAAACCTTCGAAAATGATGAATGTAGCCAAATTACTTTCAACCCTAAGTGTTTTTTTTTTTTTTGTTTTTTTGAATTCGAAGCTGAGTTTAAAAGTGCAAAGCATTGAAATTTGTTTTTATAAACGTGAATCAAATTTTTGAACTTCATTTTCCTTTTCTTTTTCGGAATTTTCTCTGCAAGCAAACATGAACTCGGAGTGGAAGAGTGCAAATTGGTTTAGCAGAAATGGGTTTCTACTCGATTTGATTGTTTCTCTCACTTTGTTATGTTTTCAGAGCAGTGATCAGGAGGCTTTGAAGAAGTTAGTGGGTGCGTCACATGAATCTCAAGAGGAGGTACAGGTTGATTTTTGTCATTTCGCGCTTTCGATTGTGAATTTGGGGAAAAGAGAGACTAATATTAATGTACGTAAGACATTGGCCTTTGTAACAAGTAAAACATTCAATAAGTTCGGAAAATCAATATGCACACAGTTTCTGCTGATTTTGGGTTCATTTGAATGATTTATATCAGTCTATGGAATCATCAATAGATGTAAGGACTGAAGCCCGACCAGGATTCTCTCAGTAGGGGAACAAACTGTTGCAAAATTGTGAACACTTTTGTGCAACAATAATGTGATTCAAGATTATTTCTTGATGTTATTTGGGTTTCCTGCACCATTGAGGCTAAAACTGAGTTTGCATAAAGTAAACGATTGGTGGAGAACAAGAGATAGAACAGCCTAGGTACCTAAGGTTATCGAGCATCACATATATGAAAAGGCAAAAGTTTCAAATGGTCCCTGTGATTTATCATATTTGTCACTTTTTGTTCAATTTTGTTAACTTTACCTTTGTGATTTACTTCTGTTAACAATTTTGGTCAAATGCTCAATTTTCGTGAATTAGTATAACTTTGTGTCCAATGCCCATCATGTGCAGTGGCATTATATCCTTTCCATGTCTAAACTCACTTAATAAGTTGGAAGAATGCTGCTTAAGCCTTAGAACACAATTTCTTGGGGAAAAGGGTATTGCAACCCAAGTTGCTGGGTTTACTTGGAGTGAAATTGGTGTTATTTCAATTGTCAAGTGAGATTGAACAATAAAAGACTATGGGGCCCCTGCACACCATGTGGAAAGTTATACCAATTCACGGAACTAAGATTAGTATCATAAGTAGATCCCAATGATTATATTAACAAACTTGAAACCACAGTACTTAAAAGGAAAATTAGAGTGAACCACAAGGATCAATTACGTACCTAACCTGCAAAGAAGAACCAAAACCAAAAAATAATGCCCTAAATTAAATGGCATTATGGCACACATATTCTAGCCTAGCAATTAACTCAAAAACTATACAGAAAAGACAAATATTTTCTCTTACTCAAATGCATTACATTTGTTATTATTGTATATTAAAGGGAACTTGTCAGATGAATTCCAACCTTTTAAGTGGGCACAATTCTTGCTGAAATGAACTCTTTAGTCTCTTTGTTTGATTTTGGTTTTTCATTTTCTTGGTGAATCTGACAGATCATAATGTCTTATTTACAAAACCGTTTTTCTTTTCTTTTTTGAAAATAAAATTGAATCTTTCAGGATACCAATGAAAGTAAATATGCGATTGAAGGAAGGCAAAGCTCTCAAGGAAAAAGGGTAAACATGCTATGTTTTTGTCTTCCTAATTAGCTTTGATTTGCAAAGGGAAGTTCATATGGTGATTTGTTATGTTTTGCTTACATAGGTTCGTGAAGTTGATGAAAATGAAAATGAAATAGAGGAAAGCAGTCCGAAGAAAGCAAAGGTATGCAGATGCTCTTTTGGAGTGGGTAAACATATCTTTATTTGTATAGCTCTTGGATTTCTTTTACATGATGCTAGGTGGGCTCTGAGATACTTCTGTATAGTTTGCAATCGCACTACTTTTGTTGAACATCCCTTATGGCAATCATGCTTCCTTAAATATTCCATCGTAAAATGTCAAGGAATTGCATAACGCCGTAGATTGGTTTTGCCTATGTACTACTGCCCTATTCAAGCTTTTTATTCAGTTTTTGTATTCTTCGATTGGGTTTTCTGGTTGGTTCGAAACTGTTGTCCTACACTGTTTCTTTCCATTTGTTTCCAGATTGCTCTTCCTTGTTCCTTGAGGTTCTCGATGTCTATCCCTTTTTGTTCCCAAGTAGATTAGTGCGGTTGCAAACATTGTACATGTGAATTTTGATCCTCATTTTTCCTTTAATTAGTTTACAAGTATCGCATGGACTGAATACATGTTACTCGTAGTTTTCCTGCTGTTTTCCTGGATCAACAGATAGGTACAATAATTGGACATATGATTGCTGCTTTGTTGTGATGAACTTTTTTAAATAAGAAATTAAGCAACTTAAGCTAGATGTTGTTTCTCCTCTTGACATAGCTTACTTAATTATTATTTGTTTCTCTTTGCAGTCCTCTAAATTTGATGGACAGGCTAAGCTGGAAATATCCTTTTCAGTTTCTGAAGTGAAAGACAAGTACAAGGTCTGATTCATGTACTCTGTTTCTTTTTCACCAGGACTAATCCTTCCACATATTTATTTAGGCCTAGGTATTTTCTTTTGGTGGGTACATTGGAGGGAACTGAACCTTGGAATTTTTTTAATCCTAATATATTGCACCACCCTCCCTCCCTTACCACCAGGGCTAAACCCAAGGGCTTGGCCTCAATATATTTTGATTGTCCTTTAAATTTGCATTTGCAAACTCTGGCATTTAGGAAATCCTTTTTGTGCTTGGATAAATGTACCCTTTACCTTTGTTTTCTTTCGTTGGAAATGTTTACTGGTTCAGGATGCAACTCTTTCACCTAAATGGAAGGCATTTCAAACAATCATATTTCTTGAACGGGTAAGCGATATTATCCTTGTTTGTAAAAGTGATTTTGAAATGCTTATTAATTCTTACATGAGTGTGTTTATCTATATATTTATTAGCTTAATGAACAAAGTATTTGCTGGATTTCCCTTTACTGGATTTCCCTTTTGCTTTTCTATGGCACGCATGCAGTTATAAATTATACGTTAGATCTACAAAACATCACATGATAATTCTGGGCAGAGGTAGTTCAATCCTCTTCACATTTTGTTGTGTGTGTTTATTAATACAGGATGAAGGTCTACATGATTCAAGTAAAATTGCTGCTTTTGATTTTGATGGATGTCTAGCCAACACTAATGTAAAGAGGTAAAGCCAATCTGATGTTTCAGGCATTATCTTGGGTAGAATATATGTTATTGAAATGTGTATGAAACTATTTTATTTTTGAACAAGGTATTGACCAATAATGAATGATGCACAAAGCATTTTCAACAGACAAGCCATCTCAATTATTGGCGACACCTTAATGTATGATGTAGATCCATGTATGCAGACAGCAGAATGTATTTCTATACTCATCCATGTCTAGGTGACACAATACAGAATTTTGTAATTAACATATATCATTTCTGTCAATCAGGTGTAATATTAAAGAAAAAGAGTTGAAATATTTCTTGTAAAATGGAACACATTTCAAGATTTAATCATTCCGTTGTGGATGATTGTAAATGTGTAAATATGTCATATAAGTTATGGACTAAGAAACTTTCAAGATTGCTAGGGTGGTGGATGTTGCTACTTGTACATGTTTTTGTTCATTCAAGTATAATGCTAAACTGTGACATATATTGGATGCATTCATTCGAGTCCGAGTCTGTGAAGTGGATTTGGGGATTTTCTGGTAATTTAACAAATGCTTTGTGAATTATAAGTATATAGTATTACTAAATATGTTCGTGATGAAAGTCTGATAAGTATCTTTTTTAATGGTTCCAGCAATGTAAACATTATAAGTGAGTTTCATTTATACTCTTATTTGGCCTGACATGCTGGTCTGATCTCAGAGTAGGTCCTGATGCTTGGTCTCTTATGTATCCTTCAATCCCTGATAAGCTACAGAGCCTGTACAAAGATGGCTACAAGCTGGTATGTGTTTTATTTTTAGTCTCTAAGCTAATGAAGTTTTATGCAAAAGTTGTAATTTTGGTATTTGATTGACATTCACATTTGTTTAGTTGTCTGGGTTTGCATTGATTGGAAATTTGACTACATCAGGTAATCTTTACGAATGAATCCAACATAGAGCGCTGGAAGAATAAGAGACAAGTAGCTGTGGACTCAAAAATTGGGCGCCTCAACAATTTTATTGAGCAAGTAAAGGTCCCAATTCAGGTAAATTCTCTCTGACTAACCTACATTATGTCTTATGTGGTCACAACATCCAATCGTGCAATGGCCATTTCTGATCCAACTAATATATTCATCATTTCATCTTAAATATTTACCTCCAAAACTCTATTGAGAGAACCATTATCTAGACAAACTATGAAATGAGTTTTATTTTCTTTTTTCAAGAAAAATACGCAAGGAGTATTGAAGTTATCTGTGTCCAGGTTTTCATAGCTTGTGGCCTAGGCAAAGTCGGTAAAGCAGATGACCCCTTTCGCAAGCCCAAACCGGGGATGTGGCATATTTTGGAACAACACTTCAACTCTGGCATTTCCATCGACATGGATCAGTAAACTATTTTTATCTCTTGTTTTGTTTCTATATCACTGTTCTCCACATGAAAGACTTAGAATAGCTACCTTAATGATCGGGTAATGCTAGGGAGACCAAATTTTTAAACCAAATAATGTGGTTGGTGATGATTGGATTATTAATTCAGTGTCGATTAACGTGCTTATTTCCTATTGGTGATACATCATTTGGTTTAAAAATTTGGTCTCCTTAGCGTTATCCTTAATGATCAGTTAGTTTAGTTTGTTTCAATGGCATTTATTATCGAAAGAACAGGATCAGTGATCATATAAAAGCTCTTTTTGTCTGCATTGCAGATCCTTTTATGTTGGTGATGCAGCCGGGAGACAAAAAGATCATAGTGATGCTGATATTAAATTTGCGGAGGTACAAACATACAATACTATATCACATGCATGTAGAAATTTAAGCTGGCATATTATTTTCTATGCTACAGTTGTACTTACTGGTGTACACGGACTTTCTATTTCCTTTCGTCCATTTATTAAATCCTTTGAGCATAGTCGTAGTCCCGCCTCTGTCAATCTACTAAAAGGGTACATCAATCTGAAAAAGAATATGTAAAGTTCATGCAGTTTCTGAATAACATCTCTATATATGTTAGTAAATAGTAAGCGCCAAAATTGTGCCGCGGTTCCACTCTATCAGAATAGTATAACTTTTTCTCTGGTAAGAACAGTAAAAATTACTTACACAGAACAGGATTAGTGAACAAAGTTTGATAATAAACGGTTCTTGGAAGGATTTATACATGAATTCATGAGTTAGGATTGTTTAATCTCGGTTCATAGTCTTAGTCCACATAAGCCTTTCATGACTTTCTTGTTATTGTTAGTGAACGTGTGAACATGCAAATGAGTAAATGATTGCCAGTCACCTAGGTTTCTTTGGTTTATCTAGTTTAGTCGAGCAATGGTTCTAGTGCTTGGACATTATCCTTGCTGGTTTGAAATTACTCTCCCTTTCAAAATAAATCTAAAGGAGGTTCGGTGCTTATGGTTTTTCTGTCTTTGCAGGCCGTTGGTGTTAAGTTTTACGTCCCAGAGGAATACTTTGGTGTTTGAGGAATTTTTCGGTCACCAGCTCCAGCCCCCAACTGCAAAATTCAGCGTTCACGTTGGCTGTCAATGTTGTAGGGGATGCTTAAAATTAGATTTTATTTTTCCTTTTCTTGCTATGCTCCTCTCTGTTGCAATGAATTAAGCACCGGATGAAACCCTACTTGTAAATTCTAGGATTAGGATAAGTTACTTTCCACTGTGTAGTGTCGCAAATATTCTGTTTTCTTTTGGAAGGAGAAAGGATTTGATGAATTCACTTCTAAACATTCTTCCCACATTGACACAATATTCTTGTATCCGCGCATGGAGAAATTTTTTGGTGCGACCATCTAGACCTTGTGGCTGTCACACAAAACACGCCGCTCCTGTATAATGGCCTCGCACAGCCCTTTGTGTTTGCTGCTGCGTAGTTCGGACAACTGGGTTTGGAAGGCAAGTACTTCTGTAATGGGGCTGTCTTCTGAGGGGCACACATAAACCAGAGCAGCAAAAATATTGTTTGAAAGTAGCTTTTCTGGTTTGGGGGGCAAGAAAAAAAGGTGACCTTTCTAGTTTATGAGTGTCTTTTTGGAGTTGGTATTTAGTGGTCCGGATTATTGTTTAGTCCTGCTTTATATTCATTAAATTGGCAAGCAAAAATATTATTTTCTCAATTCAATCATGACCATTCATTTCTCGTACTACTGGTTAATCTGGATTACTAAAAAAATTGGCCTTTTTGATAATTTGGTAATTTCCGTTTCTGTGGTTGTTACTTAGGTGAATCACAGTATAAGCATTTGAGTGTCCGGTAAGTGTAAAACTCAAAGCTTGCAACTTAGAGAAATTTTTCAATGTGATGAAAACATGATTCGGTATATCAAGCGTTATAATATAATTGGTTAGAAATTTTCTTTTTCAAGTTTCTAACCAATTCTATTATCACAGTTAGTATACTGGACCGTATTTCGGAAAAATGTCTCCGTGAAACGTGGCAAACATCCCATGCAATAGTACGATCCAACGGCAAGAAGAAGAAGCAGGTAGGAAGTTCCTAGTTGCATGAAATGAATTGAATTGGATTGGTCACGGTAGGAATTGGCTAACAAAAGCAATCAGGAATAATCAGCCGCAAAAGCAAAAGCAAAAGCCATGGATCCCTACTTCCAGCAGAGACTCAGAGATGAAGTAATCTACCTCCACTCTCTCTGGCACCAAGGTCCCCCTTCCTCCTCCTCTTCTAATCCTAACCCTAGATTCCACCAACCCAATCCCAATCCCAATCCCAATCCCAATCCGTATAACAGACCCAGACCCAGAAGAAATGTTACAAACCCCTCGCAACCCGACCCCCTTCCCCAATCGGGTCATCAAGGCCCCTCCTCCTCCTCCTCCTCCTCTAAGAGGAAGAGAAACAGAAATTCAAGGCATGAAAGAGAGAGACCGGCCAAGAAGAACCCCGCCCAACCCGACCCGCTTCCTCCGCATTCCGGCCCTCCTTGGCCCTGCCCTAGCCCCGCCTGTGACTCTACCCCGGGCTCATCCACCCAGTGGCCTGCAATACCGGCCAAGCCCAATTCGGCTTCGGTGGCCCAACCCCCTTTCCCTGCAGAACAAGCAAGGCTCGCTGCACTGAAACTGCAGCACGGCGCCCTGGACTCTTGCCGGGGGTTGTTTTCCGGCAATGCTGGGTCGGACGGGGAGGAGTCCGAGGCGGAAGAGAGTGAAGATGGAAAGGACTACTGGGTTGAGAACGGTGAAACAGAGGAGTACAAGGTGCTGTTGAATTTGTTTGTGGAGAGGAGTGAGCTGAGGAGGTACTATGAGGTGAATTTTGAGAATGGGGAGTTCTGTTGCTTGGTGTGCGACGTGTTGGGAAAGAAGAAGAGGGTCAGGAGCTGTGTTGGGCTTGTTCAGCACTCGATTTCCATTACCAACACGAAGAAGAAGCGGGTTCATAGGGCTTTTGCACAGGTGGTGTGTAAGGTTTTGGGTTGGGATTTTGACAGGCTGCCGACGATTGTGCTCAAAGGCGAAAGGCTCGGCCTTTCGTTGGAGAAACAGGGCCAGGAACAAGTAAGTGGGGTTTTTTTTCATTGTTTAATATTGCTTTGTGGTGGTGGTTGTTTTGGTGTATAGGAATTGGATTGAGTTGCGAATGTTGCAGGGTGAGGCTGACGTGAATGCTGGTTCATCTGAGGGAGTTTTGGTTTCTGTTGAAGACAATGTGGCACTTGAAAATGCTATGGAAGCTGAAATTTCTTTGGAAGACAATGTGGCATCCGAAAATGCTGTGGAAGACAATGTGGCACCCAAAGACGCTATGGAGGACGATGTAGCACCTGGAGACACTCTGGAAGACAATGTTGTAGCTGAAAATGCTAGGGAAGATAATCTGGCAGCCAAAAACGCTGTGGAAGACAATCTGGTGACTAAAAATGCTATGGAAGACAACTTGCCAGCCGAAAAGGCTATGGAAATCGAAAATGCTGTGAAAAGCAATGTGGTAGCAGAAAATGCCGTTGAAGACAATGTGGCAATTGAAAATTCTGTTGAAGAGATAGTGACAGCTGAAAATGCTGACGAAGATATTTTGCCAGCTGAAACCAATGCTGTGTGTAAAGAAGTAATGGATTGCCAGGTTAGTTATGTCTTTCGCTGTTTAACGTAATTTTTGGTTCATGGGTTTCGGACATAACAAAATGTGAATTTTTTTTCTTGTAATGTGATTTCTGATATGGGATACGTTTTTTCAGAAATCTTTCGAAGGTGATAATACAAATGAAAGCACAAAAAGCATGGATAACGAAATATCAGAAATGGAAGCAAACAAAGAAACAGTGGATACTTGGGTAAGATGATTGCTCTTAAATTGAACTAAATTGATAATCCACTTTTCAAATGAACTAGTTTTCGGTTTTTTTTTTTTCCCTTTTTCCTTTTTTCTTTTTAAATTTTATATTTGATTTTAGCTACCCTGCCCAGGGCTTTGTTGGTTCAAAGAATTTAATGGCATACGTACCTACTGCATTCGTGGTTAAAATCATGTGTTATCCAAAAGTTCTTATTTTTACTCACGTTTGTCAAATGCAGGGAACTGATCAAACAATGGTGTCAAAGAATGAATGGCCATGTAAAGAGTCCAGCATTTCCTCATCGACAGTGTTAGGTTGGCCAACCTTTACTTCTCCTCCAGCTTCTGCAACATGCTCTATTCCAGTGGAAGAACAAGCTAGGTCTGCTGCAGCGAGGATACAGCAGAAGGCCTTGAAAGAATGCCTGGATTTCTTTTCTGAGAGAGATGGCTCATACAGTGATGAAGACAACAGCGAAGATGACGAGGAAGGTGATTTGATGGATGAAGATGGGTGTGAGGAAAGTGAGCTAAAGTTCTTTTCAAGAATATTTACGGAGGATGGTGAGTTGAGGAGTTTTTATGAGAAAAATTACGAAGGTGGGGAATTTTGCTGTTTAGTTTGTTGTGCATTAATGAAGAAAGGGTGGAAGAGGTTTAAAGGTGGTGTTGCGCTTCTTCAGCACTGCAATGCAATATTGAAGACAAAGAAGAAGGCGGCTCATAGGGCTTATGGGCAGGTTATTTGTAAACTCCTTGGTTGGGATATTGGTCGGCCTCCAACCATTGGCTCCATGGATAAAACTCTTGGAGAACCTTTGTCAGAGTCGAACAATTTGCCGGTAAGTAATATGTGCGTATGATATGTTGACTATGGTTCTTCAGTTCTATAAGTATTATAAATTTGAACATTGCAGGGTGAAGTGGAGGAAAATGTTGACGATCACAAGGATAACATGGTTGTATCAAATGAAAATGTGGACTGCATGAGTGGTTATAATCGTGAAATGGTTTCAAATGAGGAATCTGATGTTGCTCACAGTAACGGAACATCAATGACACATGAGATGCAGGTCAGTTTCAACTTGTTCTTTCCCCAACAAAGTCAAGTGAATCGCATATTATTATTTTGTGCGTACTGACATGTATATACATCATAAATTCATAATAACATTTCAGTAACTTGGATCCCATTTTAAAATTGCAGGGTGTGCCCTTGGAAAATGTGGTTGTTTCAAATGAAAATATGGACTCTATCAGTGGTTATAATGGCGAAACAGTTCCAATAGAGGAATCTGATGGTGCTCACGGTGATGGAACATTTACGGTACCTGGGTTGCAGGTGAGTATGAACTCAGTTGTTCACTCCTCAACAAAGTCAGGCGAGTCGGAGGTTATTATCATTGGTGATAATGTGTATGTCATACATTCATAGTTACATCTGAGTGTTAGAACTTGGTTATAATTTTGAATTTTCAGGCTGAACCTGACAAAAATGTGGATGGTCGGAATGAAGATTTGAATGTCTTTGTGGAAAATTTAGAAACAGTGGTAATGTTCACATAACTTCCAAAGAGGTACGTGTTTGGCAATCCTAGTTATATTCGAGTGCAACGACATCACTTTTCCCGGCAGGACAATCCTAAGAGAGATCAGCTTGGTCACAATGACGGTTCGGTGTATCGATCATCATTTAAGTTGATCTTGTGAATCAATGGTAGAATTTCGTATGTGGCACTTTTACGCAGGTACTAAGTAATATTGTAAATGTAAACTTCGCTAAAGCTTTTGCAAGGCCATTCTTCAACGGACGAGTTGAATATATGCATTTGTCCTTTTGAAAGAGTTTCTTTCTTTTATTGTGACGGTCGCACTGCCACGCTATAACGTCTCTCGTTTGCATAAGAGATTGGAAAGTTTTGAGTTCGGTTACAATGGTACTTACTAAACAGTACAAATTTTAATCAAAATCTAACTGGTGGATAGATTCTTTAGATCCCTGATGCAAAATCAAACCGTTGGTTTTTTAAATTACTCAGTGATACGTATTACCAATTAGCATCATTTAGTACTGGTTTGGTATTATGGTACTTTTATAAAAAGTGGGTATTAAAAAAAGTTGAGCTTAAAAAGGTGTTTGGTAAAAACTTAAAAACAGTTTATTTTCACAGTTTTGAAAAAAAAAAAAAAAAAAAAGCTGACAAAATGAAGGAACAAAAATGAGTTTAGTCTCACAACACAGCAGAAACAGTTTTTTTTTTCTTTTCAAAACATGACAATACCAAACCAACCCTAGTGAACTTCGAAAATTTCAAGTTCCTGGCCCAAGATTACAGATCTAGAACTTGCGGCCTCAGACATGAACTTGGAACTTGCGACCTAGACTGAGATTGCAAACTCCAAACCTCGAATCCAAGACCTTGAAACTTGAAAACCAAGTCCCAAGTAACCCAAAACCTGAACCAAATATGATTTAGTTTTGAATCTATTCAAATTTCAATGCAACAACTCCCAGTGTGCTTCAATTGGATGCTCAGACCTTCGCAGAAACTTTTCATCGTCCATGTTTGTGACAAAGGGTTTTCGGCTCAATAGCTTCAGGGGATCATAATATACGAAAAAAATCTACAGTACTCCGCCTCTCAGAGCCCTTAGATCCAACCCAACGGATTCAAAGAAAATTGGACAACCATTGGATTGGATCTAAGGGATCGTCGAGGCGAAGTATTCAATAACCCAGAAATTTTCACCTTCAGTGTCATATCTTGAGGTGAAAACTTCAAATCTTTCATTCAAAGCCATTGAGATGCAACATGAACGCAAAACCGACCCCATACAACATTTTGCAATTATTTCTAATATTACATATATTAAACACCACCGATGATTTCAACAGAAGCCCATGACATACTCATACAAAAGCAACATTTACATAATAAGCATCGTCCAACTGAAACCGAAACGTTGAATTTTCTTATCTAGAGCGGAGCACATAATGGAAATCTCCACAGGCACCAGCACCAGCTCTTTAAATAAACATTAAGAAAAAAAAAACAATACAAAAGAAATTATCTTACTCACACGCCAGTTTGGTGCCAAAGCTGGTAAGGCAAATAGCAAACGCCTGGAACGCTGACAAAGGCTGTCTATAATCCATGGTAAATGTATCATCACCCACTTTCCCGAACTGGAGAGCCGTTTCTTCGTCTCCTTTCCCTCCTGGTTGGCTTGGGTCCACAGCTGCAACCAGTTGAAAGTTCTTTACTGATGCCACTGTGACCCGACCATGGAAATTCAAACACCAGCACTGCAACTGATCATGCCATCTTGGAGCTTTGTTCCTCAAAAAGGTGTAACCAGAACTTGTAGAAGCTGTTTTCTTCAACTTTAAATTGTCCAAAGGTTTTCCAATGGAAGTTTCATCTGATGGTGGGCAAATAAGCGGGCAAATCATCCTCCTCGGACCTCTTGATTTTAGAAGGTTGAACTTGTAAGAGACCTGCCCAACTTCAAAGTTGCCTGCCGGAACTTGGGGGCTTATTTGCTTGCTTGCAAAACGACGAGTAGACCTACTGCTAGCAGGCTTTGCACCACTATGCGGTGGCTGACTGTCATAGATTGTAAAATTGGTGCCCAGAAAATCGGAGCTGAAAAAGTTTTAAGAAACCATGTTAACATTCAAATTTGTTATTTTAATTCAATGTAATGAAACCTCCTAAAAAACCAGTCAAGCTGATTCTGAATTCTAAAAAATGAGATCATGTCGACCTAACTTGGTATAAAACCTCTTACAGACATTCCAAAAAATGGTCCTCTAACTAAACTTCCTTTCCCAAGAATGTCTTACCTTAATTTTCCCACATAAGCATTACTTCCTTGGGATATGTCATCAGCATCAAGTGATATTATATACTCAGTGTTAGTGCCATGCCTGTATCTCCGCGCTGCTAAAAGAAACTTTCCCTTATCGGTGAATGCTGGGAAGGGGAGAGGAAAAAAAATATCACAGGAGAATGAGAAAACATTCAACCTTTAAGCATCCATGCAAGCTGTCAAGAGCCACTCACATAAAAAGTATCAAATAAAACAAAAGATTAACTCCACTGTGTTCAATAGGAGTATTAAGTAGGAAACGAGAGTTACTATAGTCCCAGAGTCACAGTAAGATAAGCCTTTCAAACTTAAAAGTCTACTCTACAAAAGTAATTTTCAGTATCGACCAAGTGCTCCTTCAAAATTTCTTCTTCAGCAAATGGTTAACAGTTTAAAACCTATAACTCTCTATTTGTTAGAGCTAGACCTGCTCTTTACATGTAATTAGGTTAGGGAAGGCTGCGAACCAAATTGATAAAAAGTCAAAAGCTATGTAAGACCAAGATATTAAACGTTTTGTTTGACAATTCTGAGATTGCCCAGATCCTGCTGAGTCAAGTCAACTTAGCAATTCAATCACCCGGAAAAATCTTCCATTTTTGCCGTAACATTAAAGTCAACTTAAAGAGGGTTGACCCAAGAAATTCCCCCCCCCCTCGAGTATTGACTTTGGCGACTTACAGGTCAAAATTTGAAAGAGTAAAAGTAAAACAGCTTCTGAAGACACATAGGAGTAAGTAACCCTGAAGTTGTTCTCATGTACATACTTACATGGGGTAAGTGCAAGATAAAGGTAAAACGTTGAGGTCTTCTTGTTTCGTTTTATTAGACATTGGTGGGGAAAATCGCATGGTCCTGGCTGCAAGAATGACAAAAGTGTAAGATCATCAGTTTCAGATCAATTTATTAAAAAACACTAAATTTAAACCACCGAACACGGTAATATCGTCAATGATAAACCAGAAGCAACTTAATATTAAAACTTCAATCTCGCTTCAAGACATGACTGGAAACAAGATAACCAGAAGCATAAAAGAAACAATCTTACAATTTCACTCTGTTTTTTCTCCGTATGGACTATCATTAGAGTATAAAAATAATCTGCCAAAAAATCCATAATTTCTTCATTAACAGTTTAGATTTTAGTTCTGCTAAATGGAGACGTAACTTAGTATGGGGAATTTCATAAAATTCATTGTTTTTCAGACAAAACGCAAGATTCAAAACACTATACGAAATACAAATGTCTGGGTATTTTCTGGGAAAAGCATGTATAAATTTCGAACTTCCAAATTCTTGGTTAACAAGTATACACTCATACCCCAAAGGAGGAACCAAATCAGCTGCAAAATGGGGAGAATATTGATTAAACCCACAAAAGGATATAAATGTGGTGTTTCAAGGCATGCAACTTCTTAACAATGCACATTCTCCAAATATTGCTCTTTTTTCCTCAGAATTACGCAAATTCACTCTGATCACAGATGAAGCCTGCGATCCAATAAAGTTTTAAGCTATTTCATATTCCTTGATCTTGCGAATTGCGATCATCCAAGAAAATACGCTTATAATTGCAGACTTCAATAGTAAATTTCATTTTTGAAACCAATCATGACATCGTGCTCAAAGGGGGAACCAAAACAGCAGCAAATGGGGAAGAATGTTGAGCTAACCCCGCATAAGGATACAAATGTGGTGTGTTTCAAAGCATACACCTTCAATGCACATTCTTTGAAAGTCACTCACTTTTTTTCAAAATTCACTCTGTTCACAGATGAACCCCCTTGGCATCCCCATCAAAGTTTTCAGATTCCAACAGTGAATTTCACCATTAGTTTTTGGGAAACTGCAGAATGCGAAATCTTCCAGGAAAAAAACAACTTTCCACACAATCATTAACGATCTTCTAAAAACTATTCAAATTCCAAATTACACAAACTCATTTAACCTAAATTCTCCTAAAAACTAAACAAACAAATCGAAAATTACATCGCCAAGGGCATACCTGTTTAAGGCACGAAGGGAAGGTAATTTTGCCACTGTACGAAGGAGACCGCGCGATCTCCTTGGTGATATCCCTCCACCGCTTGCAGACACAGGCACAAGCGACGACGTTTTTGCGGTGCGGCCACTTGTCCTCGCTGGCCTCCACTCTCCGTATGATCTCGCCGAGCAGCTCCGGGAGCATATCCGACCACGAAGACGACGACGGCGACGAAGATGAGTCAGCACAGTCGGAGTCGCGGACGACTCTGCGGCCGCCCCCAGTCGCCTGATCCTCGTCGCTGAGCTTCAATTCCCGGAACGATTTGGAGAATTTCCGGGAGCGAAAGGCTTTCCGCAGAGACATGGCTTCGGATTGGGGCTATAGGGTTAGGGTTCCGATCTCGAATTCGCTGGTAAAGAGAAGCAGTTTTTTTCCTTATAGAGAGACAAGAGAGCGAGAGTGGAAGGGGTTGATGATGAATGAGAGAAATGAGTTGTGACAGAGTGACGGGGCTGTGACGAGTGATATTTTGGAAGCCAATGGGAGAACAAGGATTGGACGCGTGGGGAGATTGAATGTGAAGGTAAAGGGGCGTTGGGTGACGGGGATGTGAGGTTAGTGGTGTAGTCAAAGTGTGGTTGGCGTTTGACTGGTCCTATTCAACGTAACAGCTGAAACCCGTTATCGGCAGAGTACCGTAACCAGTGAAGGCCATTTATAGCTTATACTTTGTTTGTGTCTCGTTTTTGTTGTAGCTCTATTTTAGTTAGGAATGTGATTGTGTAAATATAATAAATCGTTATAAGATTTTATAATATTTTTTAATAGTTTTTTTTTTATTGTAATGTATTACTTGAAAGACGAAAATATTTTAAAAATAAAATGATTGTCTAATTCTAATAAATTATTGTCACTTAGTACTACGTCTAGTGTTATTTCTTTCTTTTTGTAAGTGAGATGTCTTAGTTTCATTCTCATCTAAAGC